AGTGCCCTGATGCTGTTTTGTTGTAAGCCCGTGTCTCCCATCTGTTCCACTAAGCGAGCCTTGCAGCCTGATTCGCAGTGACAGCTCCTCTATTTTTTTTTCTAGGACTGGAGGCCTCAGTGCACAGCAAACATGTGCTTCATTCAGAAAGCTGCATGTAGTCTGCACAACACGCAGCACATGAATGATTCATGCAGAGCCGGGGAGTCTCCCTGTGAGTACAACAACATTTGGAGGTTCGGGCAGACATCAACACAGGAAATCCGCATCCACAGCTGATGTTATGTTAATGAGCTTAAATGGCTACAAACAGTTGCCTTAGTATGAAAAACTGAGAGCACCCGTTAGATGTCTGACTGACACATGGGATTTGGATTAAACGTGATTTGAACAGCACAGTGTTGCAGCTTTATCTCTACAAACATGAACATGACTGTGTAGCTGCCCAAAGAAGCTGTACATACTTCTAGAAGAGAGTCTCAGATTTCTCTCCATTCCACTTTAAAACGAAATAATCCAGCGACAGAAGAAGGAGCAATAACCCCAAGGTCGTTCATATAAACAGTAATCCATACATCATGTTGTGTCTCTGCGCTTCGCCCCCTTCTGCTTTCCAAACAGCATCCGACGGATCTGAACTTGAACCTTATTGGCTGTAATGTAAAGAGATCAAAATATCTCCACAAGTTCGTGGCGCTGCTCGCCGGTTATTTGTGATGAAGCGCTCCGTGCCAGATTTCCAAATAATCTCCGAGCCTGGAGGGTGCGGGCTCTGCAGACTGTTTCCCCTGATGCCTTCGCGTCGGTCAGTCAACGCAGAGTGCAGCTCCGGGAGAGAAAATCACAAGTCTGGACTGAGCTGAGCACAGCGACGCTTGACGGAGGTTACCGAGCTGCAGCGGGGCTCCAGAGTAGAGAGAACCCAGACGATCCGAACCCACACGGGGCGAGCCTGCCATCTGCCGGCCAAACAAGTGACGAAACGATATGGAGGTTCATTTGTGCAGAATAAACGTGGGGCCCTAACAAAAATCACAAAAACATAAATGAGGGACAAACTGACTTCTATTTTAATTTAAACTGCTCAAAACCCCAAATGAACACTTTTTATTCAGAGTACAGCACCAAGTCAGTTAAACTTCTGGGATACTGATCCTTGGGGCGCCACCAGGGTGGGTCCAGGGAGGGGGCACTGGCCACCTTCCAAAATGTGCTGGCCCTCCCAGAGGCCCTCCCTGGTAAGGCTGTCCTATGTTGGTAGTAATTCTAATAAACGTGAGCACAAAAAGCGGCAGACACCCTACAATGAGTTGAAACTTTAACTTACTATTTATTCCTGCTTAAAACTGATTATTATGGATTTCAGTTAACAGGTGATCTAGACGGGCATCAAAAAGACAACCCCTAAACAGGAATGGTTTCACAAGTGGAGGAAACTGACGTTTTCCCCTCCTCGTCTTTTTTGACTGTTTCCCATTTGGCTAGGATCAGTGTCACTACTGGTAGCATGAGCTGATACCTAGACTCTGCAGAGGTTGCGCAGGTAGCCCAACTCCTTCAGGATGGCACATCAATACGTCCGTATAATCTTAAGAGCATGGATGACTCTAAGGAGAGCTGGATAGAGCCATAACAGGCCCCTAACCAATCAGCTGAACTGGTATCTGCTCCTTTAGGCATAGAAGATCAGGATGAGCAAAACAGAGATACAGAATGACGTCCAGCTGGCCACTGGTGTGAATGTCTCTGACAAAACAATCAGAAGCAGATTTCATGAAGCCGTGGAGAAGACTATGTTGTCGGTGACATCGTTCAGCATGGCCGATGTGTTCTGGTGATGGGTCAGTGATAGTCTTGGGAGGCATATTCATAGAGGAACGCATAGACATCTACAGGCTAAGCACCAGCATCCTGACTGCTGTTGGGTATCAGGATTAAATCCTTGGACCCATTGTCAGACCCTACACTGGTACACTGGGTCCTGGGTTCCTCCTTGTGCATGACAATGTCCGACCTCATGTGGTGAGAGTATGCAGGCAGTTCCTGGACAATGATAGCATTGACTGGTGCCCACACTAACCTGACCTAAATCCAATAGGACACCTCTGGGACATTATGTTTTGGGACCTTCAGACGGTCCCAGGTTGCACCTCAGATTGTTCAGGAGCTCAGTAATGTCCTGGTCCAGATCTGGGAGGAGATCACATCCACAGACACCATCCACCCTTTCTCATGCCCCTGTGTTGTCATATTTTTTTCACTTTGATTTTTGGGGTGTCTTTGAATTCAGCTGTCTGTGGGTTGATAATTTTCATCACCACCAAACAATGCGATGTAACCTATTACCCAGTCCATATCCATGCAGATATCCAGCATTATTTTTCCTGCATTGAAATCTCTTGTGTGTATAATGAGATGTGAACGTTTTCTTACTTAAAGCTCCATGGTGTAGGGGTGAATAGATTAACCTTACACATAAAATATCTCTGATTCAATTACAGGAGGAGACACAAACTCAGCCTCAGAAGATCACAAGCTAAAACATGTGCCAAATGTCTCATGTGGCTCCATCTGCTGGCGGGTGAATCTATACCTTTTCATGTATCAGATGACCACTATACTGTGGAAATAATTAATTAACGTATCCGTCCTCTTGTCTCTTTCTGAAATGCTTTTCTCGTAAGACTCAAAAATAACTGACAATAATATTTGCAAATAAATAAATAAATAAATCTAAGACTCACCTTCCATCAGTTGCACCAGGTTATTGGAAATCTCTATTTCTTTTTATTTGAGGGAGTTTTTAATCATACTCCACTTTGTGGGCACACACAATTCTCCACCTTGGGAGAAGTGTGGACACCAAATGATGTTGACATGTTAACCTGCAAGAGACCCATGATGGCAGTCTAAAACCTGATTTTAGTTTTAGTTTGTCTTATAGTGTTGACTTTGGTCACAATGCTCAACACTGTCTAGACACGAAGGAACATGAGAACAAAGGACCAAAAAGCTCTGTACTCCCACATAAAGACAGGCTGCCTTAGTAATTTATTGTACACATAAATAGATTAAAACTGCAATAAAACTATTGTTAGATTTACAAAAAAGATGTTGGCTTTATTCATAGCTCTGATTTCTTGACTGGCATGTGGATACACCCCCTATAGGCTGTTGAGAAAATAAACTAACCACTTTATTAGGTATCCCTTGCTAGTACTGTATTGGACCCTCTTGTTGAATCAATTCTTTGTGACATAGATTCGATAAGGTGCTGTAACTTTCCTCAGTTCACGTTGAGATGATAGCATCACACAGCTGCTGCACATCCATGATGTGAATGTTCTCTTCGACCACAAACAAAAATGTTCTGTTGGATTGAAATCTGGTGACTGTGGAGGCCATCTGAGTATAGTCAACTCATTGTCATGTTTACGAAACCAATTTGAGATAATCTGAGCTTTGACACACGGTGGTCAGAAAGGGATTGACATCAGCAATCCCCTATTTGGGTAGGCTGTGGTGTGTAAACGATGTACAGTTTGCATTAAGTGGTCCAAAATGTACCAAGAAAACACCCCAACACCATCAGCCTGAAACACTGATGCAAGACAGGCTAGATCCAAACTTTCATCGTATAAAAGCCAAAATCTGACCCTGCCATGTGAATCTAAAAGTAGAAATTGAGACATTTTTCCAGTCTTCTATTATCCTCTGCTGATGAGCCTGTGTGAGTTGTTGTCAAAGATTCCTGTGTTAGCTGACAGGAGTAGCACACAGTGCAGGTTTGTTCTGCATACCTTGGTTGCTATGAGAAGTATATGCATTACTGTTACTATTCTATCAGCTTTAGGTTGTCCAGCCATTCTCCTTTGACCTCTGACATCAGCAGGCATTTTGACCCAGAGAAGTGTTGCTCACTGGATATTTTTTTTCCCCCTGGGCCATTCTCTAATGGCTAAGTATATTTATCCGAAGCAGTGCCACACAGAACAACTACACAGAACAACTTTAGATGTTACAGAATTTAAAGTACATGCAGTGCATAAAAATTAAAGACATACATTTTCAAATAGCCTTGACACCAGCAATTTATGTTTCTGATGTTAGTGTTAGTAACTGGCCACACGATGGCGCTCTTCTCTCGGGTCGTTCAACCAACTTTGACTATTTTGAAAAGTCCTTGGCCAAGTATTTTCTACATTTTAGTTTATTCTCTTTGGCCCTGATGCCATTACCCAATGCTCTTTTGAGAAATAATATAGTTCCAGATTTTCATGGAAGAGGATTTATTCGATTTTGACAGAAAGCCTGACCTCAACAAAGCAGATGATTTAAGTGCCACTCGATAACTCATGTAGATCTCATGCATATATCTTTCTACGTAGCACTTTTAATTCTTATTCTTACTTTTATTTTTTCATGTCTATTTAAGCGCAATTTATGACAGTATGTTTGCACTGAAGCACCGCAGCAATTTCCTAATGTTGTAAACCTGCTCAACATTTGGCAATAAAACCCATTCTAATTCTGATTCTGATAACATTACAACTGTCATTTTTCTTCAGGTGGTAAATTCATTTAGAAATTAACATTTTAATCCAGAATCAGCCGAAAATCCAAAACGCTGCCCTTTCTCAAGGACGCAGAAAGAGATGCGAGCAAAGATATGACTGACTATCGGATATTCTTTAGAGAAGATACGCATTGTAAAGTTTAAGAAAATGAAGAATGCAGCTTCTATCTTTATTCAAGACTTGCATTAAATTATTTGTTTTTGGGTGATATAAAACATTGTCTGAGTGAGATTATCCCGTCCAGCACATGCCCACAGCCACCGTTCCTTTATGGGTTGATAGCGAAAGAAAAATTTTCTGTCAGTCGGTTAAAATTCATTGTTGCCTGTCCAGCCAATCATAGATTTTGACGACACAAAAGAGGCTAAAGTTGGAGTATAAAAAGGTGCGCGCTAATAAACTATGATGCCTATCAGTGTGGGACATTAATCCAACCCCAGTTCAGTCGCGCATCAGCTCCGACACAGTGCAAAGGATTTTTTTTAAACAAAGCGTATTTTTAAACCAGACTTCACACCTAAGAGACAATGCATCTGTCTCAGATCGTGCTGTATCTGAGCTTGCTGATTGCTTTGGGTCCAGTAGTTCTGAGTGACCAAGAGGCGCACCAGCAGCCTTCCGTCAGCACCCCAGTAGACACGGATCAATGCGCTACCTGCGAGGTCCGGCAGCATATTAAAACCATGCGATTAAACGCGATAAAGTCTCAGATTCTGAGCAAGCTGCGAATGAAGGAAGCTCCCAACATTAGCAGAGAGATCGTGAAGCAGCTCCTGCCCAAAGCGCCGCCGCTGCAGCAGCTTCTGGATCAGTACGACGTGCTGGGAGATGACAACAGGGAAGAAGTCCTGGAGGACGACGACGAGCACGCAACCACAGAGACAATTGTGATGGTGGCAACTGAACGTAAGTGTGAATTTTCTTTATTTTTTGTGTCACTGCGTAAGCGCACTCGAACGTCTCCAAAATAATTTTTTACGCACGTGGTAGAACGCACAGGAGAGTTTATTTTTAGAGAGCAGTCATTTTTTTCCCACCAAGGTTTTGTGTTAAATTGTTGATGCAAAAGATTCAAAACACTTTATGAGACATGGTGTTTGGGCAGAGAGTGCGCCGCATGAGTTTTACGCAATCATGCGCAAACGCGCCACTTTATTTCTCAGCGATCATGGAATTAATTTTCTTTTCCCATGTCTCCGCAGCTGATTCCGCCGTCCTGGTGGACGGGCAACCAAAGTGCTGCTTTTTCTCAATTACGCAGAAGTTTCAAGCCAGTCGTGTAGTTCGAGCGCAGCTTTGGGTGCATCTGCGTCCCTCAGAAGAAGTGACCACCGTGTTCCTGCAAATCTCCCGGCTTATGCCGGTCACAGACGGGAACAGACACATACGAATCCGCTCCTTGAAGATCGACGTGAATGCCGGGGCCAGCTCTTGGCAAAGTATAGACGTCAAGCAAGTGTTGACTGTGTGGCTGCGGCAGCCAGAGACCAACTGGGGCATCGAGATCAACGCTTTCGATTCGAGGGGAAATGACTTAGCTGTGACCTCCGCAGAGCCGGGAGAGGAGGGTCTGGTGAGCTCAACTTTTACTTGAAATTTAACAGGGAGCTTGTGGTTAGGTTTTCACTTTGAAACGATGAACAATAGATGGAGCTTGGTCTCATATGTCTAGAGCAATAGGCTATCTGTCGCTACTGTCACAATCGGTGCATATCTAGCCATTTCTAAAGCGCCTAGGTTCAGAAAACTGTTAATGCGTCTCTGTACAGAGGGTGAGACTTTAACTTCCAGTGTGCAGAGAGGCTTTGCAGGCTCAGCAGGCGTTTAAACATTCCTGCATTTCACTGCTGGAAGAAGGAATCAGGATATAAAAGACTTTTGAAAGCTGTTAATCAACACAGACTCCATGTAGGCGCACACCTGCATTTGGACAAGCGCCCGGTCCACAATAACCTCAAATCTTATTGCTTGATTACATAAAAGTTCACCTGCTCCACATTCCTTTAAGTATTCAGTGTGGCTGTGCAAATCAGAGTAATTGCTGGCACATACACACACAGAGCTACTATCAATGACAAACATACATCACAGAGCTCTAATAATGGCACCCGGCACTGGGGCAATTAGAATAACTAGACAGCTGTGGCTAACCAACCATCAGATGATTTAATTTCTGCATAACTCAAAGTTTCATAATATTATCGTGCCATGTTTGAAAACTGACAGCCGCAGGGCAGCGGATTAAAAGATGAAAAGCTGAATGCTGTCACCCCTCCTCCACCTGCAAACCTGTTATTATCAGATTGTTCACACACACTCTCTTGTTTCAGCAACCGTTCATGGAGGTGAAGATTTCAGAGGGCCCCAGGCGTGCCCGGAGAGACTCGGGCCTGGACTGCGATGAGAACTCTCCAGAGTCCCGGTGCTGTCGCTACCCACTCACTGTGGACTTCGAGGACTTTGGCTGGGACTGGATTATTGCACCAAAACGCTACAAGGCCAACTATTGCTCTGGGGAGTGTGAGTACATGCACTTACAGAAGTACCCACACACCCACCTGGTGAACAAAGCCAACCCCAGAGGGACTGCAGGTCCCTGCTGTACCCCAACAAAGATGTCGCCAATCAACATGCTCTACTTTAACCGCAAAGAGCAAATCATCTATGGCAAGATCCCCGACATGGTGGTGGACCGTTGTGGATGCTCCTGAGTTGGGATGGAGAGAGAAAGGGGGCGGGGGCGAAGGGGCCGAGGCGCCGTCCAGCATCCTACTTTAAGACTGTTTGATACCACCAATCCACCAGTTCCAGTGCTTTCCTGCAGAACACGGTGCAATAGAATCAGAGTAGAAGCCACAAACAGCCCGACCTTCCTGCAGGGCAACGCTTTCATAGTTCTCACTTTTCTTTCCTCCAGTGAAATCTTAGCCATAGAGGCTTGAAGCCAGGTGGATGCAAGAATGCAAACACACACACACACACACACACACACACACACACACACACACACACACACACACACACACACACACACACACACACACACACACACACACACACACACAAATATAACACATGCTGGACCTTGAAGTGAATGTAGCCAGAAATGATCACAGTTTTCCAAAACAGTGTTATTATTCTTTGTTTTTTAAATGATCTGTGCTCTGTCCATTTATAACAACATGCCGTCCGTTTATACACCACTCCACTTGTAGCTGATATACAAGCTATCACACTTGATGCTCTGTGTTTGTGATAATCATTTTTTTAGTTTTGTTTTCAGAGTGAAACCAGGAATCCTCAAGGACTTTTTGAAAGGGCTCGGAAAAAAACACAGCTGGAGACTCTTTAGGGTGATATTTCACACTGGTAGAACATGTTTTAGTACCCCTAAGTGTCCCCAAGAGTCAATGAAAAGTTAAACTACACAAAAGACTAACTAATCTGGAGATTAATCTCTCTTTTATTGCTCAAAGTTTCCCCCATAATGATGTGGTGGTTAATCTCTCTTCAGAGCCTATGGATACAAACATGTTCCACCAGTCTGAAGTACCACTTTAGGTCTTGTCAGGTCCTCACTTATTCTGTCATACATACATGCAACAATATATCCAACTGAGAGATCATTCTCCCTCAGTCGCAATTGTCAGTATCCAACCAAACAGCCCAACCTGCCCGATACACTTGAATTATTCTGATTGTAAATTCACATGACTGGACAGAAGGACTTGAACTGAAGGCACGATGAATGCAGCCTCCAAATGAAAGTGTGTTTAAGACAGAAAACGATGTGAATGTCGAAATCATGTTTAGACTCTGTCTTACAAACACAGTTTGCACTATGGCACACCAATAGAAAGAATTGGTTGCTACAAAAAAAAGTTGTAAAAACTGATTTTGATATGTTTGCTAATTTGTATTGTATTCATATGGCATTTGTTTCCAGTAGGAGTTGCCTTTCTGAACCATTGTTGGTAAATATGTAAAACTGCAACCTAGCAAGATAAATGTTGTAATGCAGCAACTCTATATACTTGTTTTAACAAATAAAATTTCTAGCTTGTTTGAAGAGTTCTGTTTCTTTGATTAGCTGACATCTCGACGAAGCTCATTTTCAGTCATAAACCTCGATAGAATTTGTTATTAGAGCTGCTTCAGAGAAAGCTTTGCGGTCACGTTTCAGTATCACAACACAACAACCTGAATCTCAATATCGCAGTCCCCCTCCTGTCACACTCCAGCAGCTGAGAATCTTTATGTCTTCAGCACATGGTGCAAGCTGATACAGCCAGTGCGTGACTGTGTGTGTGTGTGTGTGCAAAAAACAAATTCCAGCACTCGTCCTCCCTCCATCTACCGGACTACACCTGCACAATCCCGTCACCGCCCGTTTTTCTTATGCACGGCTCAGCCCAATTTCCCTGACTCTGCTTTTTTTTCCCCATGAAGGGATGTTGAAAGTGTTGTAGTCTAATGAGAGGATGTGAACTCTGGTGCGCTCTGACAGCATGACCTATTCTACTGACAGCCTCATTGAGGCCTGACTTCCGCCCGGTAGAGGGCGAATTGAGCGCCACCCGTGAGAGCCACTTCCTTTCCTGCTGAGAGCTGGAAAACTGCCATGAAGATCAGCCACAGCGCAGAGCCGAGCCTGGGCAGAGTGGATCCACAGAGCGTCTTTGCTCTCTAAGGGGGAGATTACAGATTCTGAATTCCTGTGGCCAGTGGAAAGATCTGTACTTCCAATATTTATATATTATTGCTAATTTAACCGTTTGTGGGCAGAACCATTTAAAAAAAGTGTACCATTTACCGTAGTTTAACTATCCTCCTACACTACTGCTCTTTACATGTAAGACATGGACACAAGAATTTTATAACTTTCCAAAAGTTAAACTTCACAATATTACACAGATACCAAAATTTATTTTGCAATTCTTCTTAAATTATGATCTAATTTAAGTATCCAAAATTCTTACAGATACGTGCAACAGAACACATTATGCTGTAATTATTTTTAGATTAATGACTACATTTGGAGTTCTTTAAATGAAAGGAAATACAATTAATACAGTGAGTTTGTTTTAGGCATGAATACTTTAGCGGAACAGACAGATTACTGTTATGAGTGTGTTTTGCATTTCTGAGTATCCTAACATCCTCCTCAACCATTTTACAGGGATTTTTGAATCTATAGAGTCATACGGTCCAGGCTAAATAAAGGTTAAACACTACAAATAAACCTTGGTATTTTCAGAGACAAGCTCAGATATGTTATTACTGAAATATAGAAGTGCACAAATCAGATTCACTGTATCAGTATTTTCTAGGCAATTGTTTACCAAATGCTGGGACACAATAAAGTCTGAAAATGATGGTGAAATAAAGATTTATGAAGCAGGGTCAATTGAATGATCTACAGAAAGTAGAAAAAAGAATGGTCCATAAAAACTGTTGCAAAAACTACCAGACACGGTTGTAGTTAGTCTGTAGCCTGAATACAGCTTTTTGGATAAGTTAGCTAATGCTGACATGGAGTCATGCAAAAAAAGATCTAGAAACCAAGCATTGCTTCTTAAAGAAACCTGAGCTGCTTCTAAAGGTGTGAATACAGGTGTGTCTTGACATTAATGGGATATGCTTTGGTGTGGCTTGGGCACAGAAATATTTGAAAAGCAGAATATGAGTATCCTAATCTCCCGTTTTTTCATTATAAACTACACATTACTATTATAGGCACACTATAGATATTGTATGGGCATTATAGAGCTCCTCAAACTCCCCCTACTACATTATAAGCATAAGTTAGTATTTTAAGTGCAGGCTGTAATACCTCGCTTAAATGGCATTTTAGAAGTTAACATACAATCTTGTTTTCTTTGAAGACATTGTTCCCTGTTCCTGTTGCCCTGTTTACTTTTAACATTAGTTTTTCAAGATGTTTTGTCCATTATTAGTGTAACTGAATAAAAAAAAAACATAAAATTAAAGAAATGATCTATTTTATATATTAGTTATCTGTTCAGTATTTAATTAAATCACAAGAAGTTCATAAATAAAGATTCCCTAGCTATCTCAAAATTAAGAAAAAATCCTGGGTGAAATATAAAATCTTAATGATAGCCATTTTAGAAGTTATTAAATTAAAAACTCAAAAAAAATATTATAAATAGGTATAAATAATGTTTCATTGTCTTTTATGATTTTACAGTTGTAAAACTGCTCAGGTTGTGGGTTTGGGCACATAAAACTTAGTAACATCCTGCAGCCACATGAGCTGCTCTGATTCAGTAATGACTGCCTATCTTTTTCATTCATAAGCTGCTTGTTTCGGGCAGACAGCAGCTGCTCTTCCACAGTGTTCACTGCAGTGTGTTGTTTGTGAACAGGAGCTGGGAAACATTTCCACTGAGCATCATTACATCTGTCAGGAGTCCGACCCTGGAGGACCGTATCCGCCAGCAACATTCCACCTCTGACAGGTGAGGAAGTGAGAGTGAGAACGGGAAGAAGGATGTTCAGGGGTGAAAGAGTAGTCCAAGGCAGCTGGAGACCCCGTTATTGGATAGGATTCCTGTTGCGTAAATTTAATAGAAATTGAATGGATTAAACATACTCTTTGTTAAGTGTGCATTCACAAATAGCCATTAATAACATATCATAAGGTTGCTTGATGATTTTTTAGTAATTATATGAAAATGCGTACTTAAGGGAATCAAGTAATGATTATGGAAATCAAATAGATTTACCAAAACTAGAGGTGATTGAATTTAAATTTTTTGTTTTAAATTTATTCTTTTTTTTCTTTCTTTTTTTTTTACTCTTTTCAGTTTAGCTTTTCATTGGTTAAAATGGTTTCAGTTGAGTTTTTATTAGTTTCTATGTTAGTGTTTGTTTTTCTGATATGAAGTTAACAACATTACAACAACGCAATAAACCTAAACCCTAGGTACGTCATGTAGACAGTCTCAATAAACATATTCAGCAGAACATCTTCAGGCTGGTTTGTTGACAAACTAACAAAGACTAAAGATAAAGACATTTCTTGTGTATTCCATATGCTTTTTTACTTACTTTTATTTATTTCTATAGACGAGTAAAAAGTAATTTTTCCACAGATTTAAATTTTACTTAAATGCCATAAACATGGCCACAAATCCAGATCTTTTTCTCTCTCTCTTTAACTCTACAGGGAACTGGCTGCAGAGTAGTCTTTGCTTTATGTTTTGGAATATTTATATATTGCTATTATATTTATATAATAGTTTTGGTAGGCTACTAAAACCATAAAAATATACATTTAAAGGACTAAAATGAAACATCAGCAAAACACAAATCTTGTGTTAACATTTATAACTGGAACTGTAGACTAAGAATTTACAGCTCCAATCGTGCCTTTATGTTACTGTAATAAAGCCTAATTGCACTTGGAGTGAAATACTTCTGCCCGCATCTTCAGAATGACGTTACACGCTTATATTTAGCATGTTGAAAATCTAGTTGGGTTGTGTATGTAGGAAGATAGCTAGGTAGGATGGGTAGATAGGGTGGGTTGGTAGGTCTGGACCAAAGTGACAAAAATAATTATAATACAAAATAGCACAAGACCAATATCCATGCCTGTATTTAAAAAAAAAGAGAGAGATAAAAATGTGGCTCTAAGAGTGTGCAGCCATGCTATTTGGGTTTTGCTTTAATATTTATATTTTTGTGTACTTGAAATAATAATCTGTGTCTTGACTTGAAAGCACTTTGGCTCAATTCCTGTTGTTTTTCAAGTGTGCTTTAAAAAAAAAGGGACTTCTTGCTGATGTTGATGTTGTAGTGGGTATAGTACAATACTGTACTTGAACATGAGTAGCAATATGGTAATGAAATGAAAGAACTAAGTATGACTGAAAGTTATTACAAGTCACACTCTGGAGATCATTAATGTCTGTACCAAATTTTGGACCTCAAGGTTGCAGTAGGGAAAAGACAAGGGATTACTAAAGTCATCAAGACATCCCATCTAGGGAACATGAATGTCTTTAGAGACTTCTGAACCAATCCACAAAGGGGATATTGAGCTGGGTAACGTGGAAAAGTGAAGTGAAAGTCAAGAGATCAAAATAATCTGGATCTTATCCTCTATAGTAAGTCTGTAGCACATTTGATATACATTTGCTAAAGATTTTATAGTTGGTGAAACATTTTTTTCTGAATCAAATGGGCGAGACATTCGGCTGGCCAACAACTGGCAGCAAAAAATGACTTAAAAAGAGGCTCAAAAGGTTCAAAAGGAAAAACTCCAAAATCTGAAGAGCTTGCCAACGTTATTAGAATTTATCTGCAGATAAAACATAGAAATCTGTGCCAAATTCAATCACAATCAATCCAGTTGGAGGACAGATATTTCATTTGGAGTTATAAATGTCCTCCTTATGGTCAGGGGATCAACAGAGTAATAATGATACATTCTCTAGACACCATTTATGATTTACTATTAATATTTTTACTGTGCATTTATACACATTATAACATTGGGAATTTACTGTATGCCTTTTCATTGCCTATCAATAAACATATTTTTGTAAGCAAGCTACAAAGGGACACATATCCATTTAAGGTAATAAGATAAGAACAGAAAATTTGTTTTAACTACAGTAATTAGAGTTTATATATTGTTTGTATCGACTAATTGTTGATAATCAGTTTAACATAGTTGATGGATGGTTTACAATATTCACAGTTTTCAGACTGCAACGTTTCTTTTCCTCCTACACCTCCTTCAACAAGCCCTCAAGATTCCCCAAACATCTGGACAAATTAAAACGATGCCCTGGGGCTTGCCAGGTGCATCCCAAAACATCTGGAGCCTTCTCCAGATGTGCAAAGCATACCATCTGGAGAAGTGTTTCAGCAGTTAGATAGCTCAGTGGTAAAGGTCTTCCTGCACAAGCAGCAAGGTTCAAGGATGGCAAGAGGCCACAAAGTTGGATAAAACCATTAAATACCATTCTAAACAATGTTTATAGCAATAATGTATTTTCCTAGTGCAGAAAAAAGAAAACTGACACCTATTT